GAGAAGCGCTGGGCACCCGAGGTGTGAGCAAAGGTTGCCCTCTGGCCCGCCAGGTTTCCAGTTCGGGCATCGTCCCGAGGGGAGAGGGAATGAGGCCGGAAGAGCAAGGTTTGTTTACTGAACCGTTGTGGGACTTCATGTCCACTGAGATTCGAATCTGGCTGGTCACGTAAATGTTAGTTGCTATCCCAGCGCCGCCTGACCTGCCTGTGCTGCTCTTGGTACACTGAAAAAGAAAGACCAGGGGTTGGCTGGTTGACCAGCTGCAGTTTTCCAACTCAGCCTCAGTTCTAACTAATCCCTCGTCAGACTTGAAACTTCCAATTCAGACTTGTTTCCCCGACGTGGGTCTTAGAAGAGGAAGAGAAGAAAGAAGGCGGAGGTGGAGTTTTTTTTATTTGTATGGAGACATCGTCCTGTAGTACAAGCTTGCCTCAAACGCTGAGGTGGCACATGACGTTGAACTTCTGGACCTGCTGATTTCACCTCCCAAGTGCTGGGAATAAACTATTTCCCAAGTTTTATAAGGTGTTGGGAACGGAACTCGGGGCCTCAAGCATGCTAAAACAAGCTCTCGACCAAGTGAGCTACATCCCCAGCCTCCGAGTTTCTTGCTTTATTTAATTCCTACTGTACAGAGCTCTTTCCCTAATTCAGGACTTAAACCTTTCCACTTTTTAGTTTCTTCTTGCCAAAAAATTTTTTACACAACTCCAGGTATGTAAGTATATAACACAGGTATACAAGATATATTTACTGATAATTATAAATTTACTTAATTATTTTGCTATGTAGAAAATAATAGTTTTATTGGTATTTATGAAAGCAAGTTTATATATTACAGAGATGGATTGCTTGCCATTTTTTTAATATAAAGAAATCGGCTAAATATTTGATACCAGAGTTTCAGTTTTCGAGACTGGGTTTCTCTGTGTAGATTTTGGAGCCTGTACTAAAAAGCATTTCAAATGTACTCTGGGCAGTGTGGCCTAGCAGTGAGATACAAATGTGAGATTTAAAGTTTAATAGTGAGCAACATCTTTTTAAAAATCCTTTTCAGTGCTGGGAAGGTGGCTAAGTAAAAGAGGCTAAGCACTGGTAAAGTGCTTGCTAAGCGTGAGACCTGAATTCAGATCCCCAGCATCCACGGAAAAGCGAGGGTGGGACCTGGTACAGTGAAGGAGCCAAGATAGGCAGATCCTGGGGTGAGGCCTGCTGACAAGCCAGCCTAGCGAAACACTGACCTGTCTTCAAAAACATGTGGACAGTACCAGAAGTTGACCTTTCTGGGCTCCACATATGCAAGCATCTACAAACCACTGGTCCAACCTGAGAGGCATATAATTGATGATATTCAGGAAGGCAGGATATCTTTGCTACAGATTTTTCAGGCAATTTCTGGGAACAGAAAACAGGCTCTACCTACTCAACGTAGTATATATTCAGACCTTAAGCCTGGCCACTGCTAGATAAACCTAAAATATCTTATATGAACAGAACATTATGTCAACAGCCTTCAGAGCAAATGGTGTTTATTGTGTAGGAGTTCTTTTTCTGATTTATTATTTGTGTGTATATGTGTTTGTGCAAGTGCCTGAAGAGGCCAAAGAGGGACAGGCTCCCCTGGCTGGAGTTACAGACAGCTGGAGCCACTCAACCCAAGCACTGGGAACTGAGCTCAGGTCCTCTGAAAGAGTAGGAACCACACTGTGATGAGATAGTAACCTCAACCCCCTCTCAAATCCTATATAAGAATAATGAGAAAAACAATGACTGCAGTTCCTCTTTGAGAAGCTCACAGCTATGTTTCCCAAGTGTCTTGCTTCCTTCTGAGTTTTTTCTTCTCCTAGTCCTTGGGCTTAAGCCTATATGAAACATCGTTGGTATGGACTGGGGAGATGGCTCAGTAGGTGAGTAAATCGCTTGTCATGCAAGCGTGAAGACCCAAGCTGTGATCCATAGAACTCACATAAAGCCGGGTCCAGTAGTGCATGCCTGTCTGCAGCCTGAGAATCTACGGAAGCTCACGGGCCAGCTAACCTGGTGCATAAAGTAGTGATGAGATCCTGTCTTAAACAGGGTAGACAGTAAGGATTGACACCCAGCGTTGTCCTTTGACCACTATACTCCTGCACACATGTAAACACAAACATCGTTAACATACACACAGATATTAAATCAAGATATAGCGGTTTGACTGAGAAAAGTTCTCCATAAGCTTATGTGTTTGAATATCTGTTCTTCACTTGGTCACATTTTAAGGAGGTTATAGAACCTTTTGGAGGTAGAGGTTTATTGGAGGAAGTACGTCACTGGGGTCAGGCTTTGAGAGTTTAGAGCTCCATTCCACTTCTGGTTCCCTCTATGTTTAGAGTTCATGGTTGAAGGTGTAATCTTTTAGAGGCTGGGAAGATGGCTCACTGGGTAAGAGCATTGGGTGCTCTTGCAAAGGACGTGAGTTCAATCCCCAGCACCCACATGGTGGCTCACAGCCATCTGTAGCTCCAGTTCTTCTGACTTCCATGGGTACGTGGCACACATGCATAATGCGGGCAGAACAACTGTACCTGTAAAACAAAATAAATCTATCAGAAAAGATGATTTACCAGATTCTTGCTCCTCCTGCCATTCCTCTCCACATGACAGACTTCCTCCCTCTGGAATCCTAAGACGCAACTTCTGGAAGTTGCTTTTTAACCATCCTGTTCTATCACAGCATCAGAAAGTACTATAGAATCGAATCTTCAACTGTGCATCTGAAACTGGCTGGTCCTGAAATTCTTTCCCACTTTAGAGCCTGATTTGGCCTTAGTTGAGGGGGCTATCCCTCAAGTGAGGGAAGTTATGGAGAGCTGAGCCTCTTGTGCCTGTACCCTAAAATACTGACATATCACACTTAAAAAAAATGCATCAATAGCCAGGTGGTGGTGATCCACGTCTTTAATCCCAACACTTGAGAGGTGGTGCTAGGTGGATCTCAGCCAGTTAAAGGCCAGCCTCGTCTACAGAGCGAGTTCCAAGACAGCCAGAAGTGTTACACAGAGAAATTCAATTCTGTCTAAAAACAAAACAAAACAAAATCAAAATAACAACAAACACCATCAAACCACTGAAAACTGTGTATGGGGAAGTGTTTAAAGGACTCCTATATTGAGGCAGGCAGATGCTTTTTCCATGCCTATAAGGGAGTAAGAGGGAAAAGAATGTTTAAACATGAACATAGGGGCCTACGGACTAATTAGGGTCTGCACATTCTGGTAGTCTTTTAAATAACTAATGTCTTCTGCTTCCTCCATTTAAAAGCTAATGGAAAGGATGCCATTTTTAGAATCTTCCTGAAGTGGAAATTTGCTGTCCCTTTGAGTCAGGAACATGCATATTTAAAATCTCTCTCTATAAAAGAAATACTCTCTCTACATAGGCAACCTTCACAATAAATTTTGTTAATTGTCCTGGAATTCTTGACTTTAAGATGGCCAGACTTCAACTAGACTCGCAGACGAGAAGTTCCTTTTCCTTCCTATGTCCTGTCAATTTCCCTCTATCATGCTGCAGGCCAAGGTCAGGAATTAGTCACTGATGTTGACTACCATTGCATGATTTTTTTTTCTGTTCACCAATACCAAGCCAAGCCTCTGGTTCAGCATACCCTGCCGTTATTAACACTGTAGACTGAAGGAATAACTATCAAAATTCATACCAGGATTTGTGTCTTTTAAAAAGATTTATTCTTATTATTTTTAACTGTGGATGGGTGAGTGCATAAAAGTGCAGGTGTCCAAGGAGGCCAGAGGTGTCAGTTACCCCTGGAGTTGGAATTATAGGTAGCTGTGAGCCACCTTACGTGGCTGCTGGGATCTAAACCCTGGTTCGCTGAAAGAACAGTAAATGCTTTGAATCACTGAACCATTTCTCCAGCTCCATGGGATTTGGTGGTTTTAGCCTACATACCTAAACTGTTTGTTAAGGCTTGGATTTTAAATGTCCCCCGAGAACTGCTTATTGAAACATAGTGGCCATGCTCTTTTAGCAGAATAATAGATTTTCGTTTAGACCCATGACCTTTCTAGTCTTGACACCTAATGACATAGTGTTATCCTCTCAGATTAGTGCCTTTCTCAGTCCACATCAGAAAAGCAGCTTGTTACACCGTCTGGGAATTAACAGAGACCTAGTTAGGCAGTGTTCAGAGAATGAAAGACTTCAAAGAACTCAGTTCTAAATGGGTCATCTTCATCAAACCCGTTCCCTCAAGGCTCAGGGATCCATGTTGATGAGGAGACAGAAGACTGTAAGAGCTAGAGATGGTGGGTGACTCCAAAGAAACAGTGTCTTTCAGTCACGACAAGACTGACACACATATGAATTCACAGAGACTGTGACAGCATGCACAGGACCAGCAATGGTTCAAATCAGGCAAAATTCTAGTATGGAGAAGAACTGGACCCCTACCAAGAAGCTAACTGATACACACTAGTAAGAGGAAGTCAGTTTTCTCTGTTGTAGGACAATCCTCTTGTATACTGTAAAGATCTGTCACTCGAATTGGTTTAATAAAACGTTGATTGGCTAGTAGGGGCAGGAAGTTTAGGCAGGGTGGCTAAACTAAGGATGATGGGAAGGAGAGGGGCAGAGTGGTACTTCCACATGACAGAGCATAAATAAGGAATATGGGTTAACTTAAAATGTAAGAGCTAGTTAGTATGAGCCTGAGCTATTGGCCAAGCATTTATAATTAATATAAGCCTCTGTGTGGAAATTTGGGAAGTGGCTGCTGGGTTATTGGGAATGGGTGGTCAGGACAAGAAACATCTGCTTATATTTCTCCAGTGGAGTCTCACTGAGTATATTAACCACACCTCAGGGCAGACCCAGTGTCCAGGAGTAGATGACTAACACAAAATCAACTCCATGTTTTGTTTTGTTTTTTAACTTTTTGTTTGTTCTTTTATTTGAACATTTTTTGTATTATTGGTCTTTTGTTTGGTTGATTTTTATTTTTGTGGGTCCTTTTAGAGAGAGAAAGAATACATATAGTTGGGTGTGGAGGGGGGTGAGGGATTTGGAAGGAGTTGGGGGAAGGAAAGAACATGATCAAAACAAGGTTGTATGAAAACATTTTTAAAAGTCAGAAAAATGATTTGCCAGCCTGTTCTGCTGTTGAGAAGTGGTGGAACCTTTACAGAGAGGATCCAGATGGAAGTTAATCATTGAGACTCTAGTCCGCACCCCTTTCCTGGTCAGCAGGACCTAAGCAGCTCTGTCTTACCATGGTGCTCTGCTTCACTAGGCCACAGCAATGGAACCTGTTAAATAAAGACTGAAAACCCTGGAGCTGTGAGCCCAAATAAACCTTTCTACTTATAAATGGTCTAAAATAAATCTTATTCGTAAGATTATCACAGATCACAGGAATAGCTTAAAATACCCCATAAAACTGGCTGACCACATAAACACATCTTAAACACATGTCTGAATACATGTAAACATTTCAAAGATTCAACAGCCTTTCACCCACAAGGAGACCTTGAGTTGGAATAACATTTCAACCAGTTAGAAATGGAAAAGATGTACCAAATCAATCATATTACTTAACTCAGTTGGGAACCAGCCAGCTGGACAGGCATAGCCATCTGAAGAGCTCGATACCAGGCCTTTTATTTTCCTTGACAAACAGTGGGGTCAGGGAAAGGTAACTTATTTTCTGAGTTGGAGGTACTAGGCTGCAAGCTTAGCCACACTACTTAATTGGCTGTGGGAATACTGAAGTACTTACATCTGCAAATTTGTACCAATTGGACAAAAAGATAAGATCGTGGCTAGTTGAGTGCCGTGTCACAACCTATGACTCTAGCACTGTGGGAGGACGATCAAGAGTTCCTGGCAGCCTGAAATATCTACAGACCTTGCCTCCCAACCCCCAACATGGAAGGAAAGAAAGAAAGCTGGCTGCACTAAACTAACTACTGTGTGACTCAAGAAATGGTGACAAATATATTTATAGTGCACATGACTGACAAAGGACTACTAGGTATAGAGAAGGTACTCATTCTACAGCTACCATTTGTGAGCAACAAGTGTACAGGGCATTACTGTAATAAAGGTTATTGTGGCAAAAGTTTGGGAACAATCCCAAGTGACTGGTCAACTAAACTATGGTTATTCAGATAATAAAATTCCATGTGGCTGAAGAAGAGATCCAAGATTCCATCTTTGTTCCCAACTGGTTAGATCTTGAGGAGGGTGCGCTATTAGGAATAAAAATGAGAAAAGAGAAAAATTAAAAGTGGTTACATTTTGTATGCTTTCCAGTGTAGATGGGACATTGTAATTTTTATAATAAAATTAAGATGAAGTTATATTGTTAGGAGTTACTGATATTCTGTGCTCTACAGTGAGAGTCACCTAGTGAAGGTATTGAGTGATGAGGGCCTGCACTGATGACCAAATGATGTAGGAAGAGAGTAAAGCATGATTTCCCATAAGGCTTCCAAGTTGCTCTTGGATAGTAAAACTGCTTGGGAATTACAGTTACCTGGTATCTTAGTTAGGATTCTATTGCTGTGAGGAGACACCATAGCCACTGCAACACTTACAAAGAAAAACATTTAACTGGGGCTGGCTTACAGTTCAGAGGTTTAGTCCATTGTTGTCATGGTGGGACGCATGGCGGCATGCAGGCAGACATGGTGCTGAAGAGGTAGCTCAGAGTGCTACATCTGGATTGGCAGGCAGCAGAAAGAGTGACACTGGGCCTGACCCGAGCATCTGTAACCCCAAGCCCATCCCCAGTGACATACTTCCTCCAACAAGGCTGCACCAACTAATAGTGCTACTTCCTCGTGGGTCAATGGGGAGTTTTCAAACCACCTCACGTGATTCCTGTAATTAGTAATGTGTACAGAAATCTAGTCCCATTAAATCCTTAGTGAGGCGAGGAAACTAGTAATAGTTTCCCACTGACTCCAACCTTACTAAAAAACACAAGCAGTAGACCTCAGGCTGTGTGGCTATTTGTCCCTTTTCTCCATTTTCATTTTGATAACAATTGATTTTCACCCTGGTTTGGCTAATCTTAAGAATAGTCATGAGGCCAGGCGGTGGTGGCTCATGCCTTTAATCCCAGCACTCGGGGAGCAGAGGCAGGTGGATCTCCATGAGTTCGAGGCCAGCCTGGCCTACAAGAGCTAGTTCCAGGACAGGCACCAAAAACTACAGAGAAACCCTGTCTTGAAAATAAAATAAAATAAAATAAAAATAGCCATTAGTTTTAAGAGTATATGACCCAAAGTGGGGCAGTCACTTGGGACCTTAAAACAGGAAGTATGAGCTGGTATGGAGGTACACATCTACAATTGATGACATGGTGCAACCACCTTGTACAAACAAATCAAGGAACAGTGGGGATTAGAACCTGGGGGAGGTAAGTGAACAGCATGTAAGGAAATCAGGACACAACAGGAGTGAACAAAGTGATGTGCTCATTCCTTTCCCACCGTGGTAAAATACAGGGAGCAATGCTTATTTTTCCTCACAGTTCCAGGGAGTACAGGCTGTCTTGGTAGGGAAAGCATGGTGGCTTGGTGTGGGTGGTGATGTAGATCCTACAGTGAAGCTTGTGGTATCTTGGTGGCCTAGGAAGCAGAGAGCTCTAGAGTGGAACCAGGGTTAGGTTACACAGTGAAAGGCTTACCACCCTGATGAGCCTACCTCTCCCAGCCATGCCTCAGATTCCAAAGGTTTCACGATTACTTAACCCAGCACCAAAGTGGTACAAGTGCTCATACATGAGCTTGGCCTCCATCCCCCATAGTACCTATCATCTGTCCGTCCGTCTGTCCATCAATCCGTCCATCCATCTCTATCTATCTGATTCCCTAAATGTAAATTTGATTCCACCAGATCTCAGTTTAAAGGCTTTCAGAGCTCCCAACCATTTTAGCACAAATCCTAGACTCAACCTGGTAAATCACTCTTGAAATGTTTGGGTCCCCTTAAGTTTCCTAGATAGAAACTTCTCCTCATTCCAGTCTCATTATGGTTTACCAGACTCAGCTCTTGGGAACTGTCTCTTCCCAGATCCTGTGGCTTCCCAGGCAGCCTTCTGGCCTGACTACTCCTCCAGTATGTCAACCTTGGACTAAAGCACCTCTTTGGGGACATTGCTGTGGCTCTTACAGCCTTGGAGTCCTTCCTATGTTGTTTCATAGCTCTTGACGCATCTTCACGTTCGCAAGAACATAATATTCCTTGACTTGTGTTTGTTTTCTCTAGGAGATTGTCAGCTGCTTTCAGCCAGGGGCTTTTTCCTCTGAATGTATCGAAGTTTGGAAATTGATACCCCCCCAGTATGGCACCTTGACATACTGAGTACTTTGAACTAAAAGAACTTGGATGGTCTTAGAAGCAGCTTTGAAAGCAAAATCTTCCTGCCAGTCTGTCCGTCTCTTGCCTTTCTTTCTCTCCCGAAGTCACTCATAGTATTCACAATTTCTCCTCTTAAGGTGGGGCATAAAAGCTACAAACCACTTTCTCAAAGAGAAGCATATAATCTAGAAAGGTGACTTTCTTTTCTTGAAAACCCTCATTCCAGAGTGGTCCTGCCCCATACCCAAGAGTTAGACAACCCAGACTAGGCAAAAAACAAAACAAAACAAAACAAAACAAAACAAAACAAAACAAAACAA